ATATATATATATATATATATATATATATATATATATATATATAGGAAAAGTGAATATATCCTTAAGGGTATATAAACTTAGGTACCCAAACTCACTATACTACGTCATTTTGTATCATATATATACATTGTAGTTGTCCAATGTTCTTATAATTCAACTTTTAATTTGATTTACTTCCAAGATTTTTATAAATTTCACATTTTTCTTCTTCTCATATAATTGTCATTTTAAACTATAGTATATATAGTTTAGTAGGTGTTCGGCAAAAAAATATAGTTTAAGATGAAGATAATAGTGAAAATTTAAAAATTTTAAAAATAAATAAAGTTAGGGTTGAAGTTCAAAAACAATATAATGAATATATCAAATAAAATGACGCGTTATGATAGATTTGGGTACGTAAGCTTATATACCCTTAAGGGTATATTCACTTTTCCCATATATATATATATATATATATATATATATATATATATATATATATATATATATATATATATATATATATATATTCCTTTGAGATTAATAAAATAATTAAAGATTGTGAGATAGATGGATAGCCCGTTATGATTTTTATTTGTAAAATGTGGTCGTGGCATAATTATAAATACATAGGTAACTTTTCAAATTAATGTCGTTAGTAACCATTGTAGGGTTAGTATTGTAATTTTACAACGAATCATATCAATTTTGCAGATGCTATGATAGTGTAACCGTCTATGTCCTTATTTTCTTTCTCGATCAAAATCTCACTTAGAAACTCTCACGAAAACCCTTTTTTTCTTTTCATATGGCATTTTGCCCTAGTTTTCGATTGTTAAATGTGCAAATTAAGTTTGAAAAATCAGTAAATGTCATCAGGAGAAAATCTAAACGAAATCGCATATTCGTTAATCGAAATGTAAGGTTAGAATGCGAGTAATGTTTCATTTTATTGATAATACATGTTTGTTTTAATTAGTTAACTATAGTTTTCTGTTGATAATGATGATTTTTGTTTTGATTCAGTAGTTTTTTCGTCATTTTTACTTGTTTTTGATGAATTTTTAGTTTACAATTCATTTGTTTTTTTTATTATGTTTGTTTGTGGTGGTTTTTGATCTAGGTAGTTTATACTTTCACAGATAAGGATTTCAAAAGAAACTATCTTCGAACAAAGTTCAAAAATCAAAAAAATCTCGAAGGCATTAAAAATTGTGTTATTTCCAAAGGTACAACTTAAAAAATCGATGTTCAAAGAGGTTTCTATGATATTTTTTTGTCGTATTTTCTTCTATAATTTTTTATTCATAATTGATTATGATATTTTGTGATTATGTATTTCTATGTATCAAACATGAATATGAAGATCTTTCTAGCGAAGTTAAAGAGAAAATTTTCAAAGAAAAGAAATGTTAAAGGTATTTGTTGTAATCATAACTGATTTAGTGATTTTTACAATGGATTGAACATAATCTTTAGTTATATGTTTATTTCTTGTTCTAATTATAAATGATTTTATACGTTTTTTTATAATAATTAGTAAATAGTAATTGATAAATGTATGTTTTTATAATCATTAGTGATTGTGTGATTTAAAATCATAGTTTATTAGTCATGTGCATTTTTGTTCTGTATTAATTACTAACTGTGTTTATTTTCTTTGTAGTAAATGCTTCTGTTTATAAGAAGGAAAGTAAAGATATTTTAGAGAAAAATTCCAAGGTTAAAAATGATAAATGTATGTTTTTGCAATCATAAGTGATTATGTTTCTTCATTTGTAACTAACTATATGTATTATGTTTTCTTTTTTTACTAACACTATTTTTCTAATAAAAATTGTAGTTAAAAAGGATAATTTAGAGGGCTCAAGGCAGACACGATCATCTTCCAAAAAAGAAAAGGCCAAGGATGTGGTGCAAACACAGTCAAAGAAATAAAAAAAAAAACAGTTATTGAACAACCAAAAGTGGACCTGGCCGTTAAAGGAAAGAAATTAGTTTTTGAGAAGGTCAAAAGTGTAAGTAAGAAACGTGAACTATCAGATGAAGATGATTCTGATTTTCAGAGTCGTCCTGGATCTTCAAAGAAACAAAATAGAGAAGCTAAAGTTGTAAAGAAAGAGATAAAAGTTGTTGTTATAAAAGAATTTCCTTCATTGAAGAACAGTGTTCATTCGGGTCATTGTTGGGTGTTATTCAAGGTTTAATTAAAGAACAGAAGGAGTGTGTTAGGGCTATGAGATTTGGGAGTTTGTTACGGATGAAGATGATTGACATACTGTGACAACCCGAAATTTTCTATTACTTTGAAAGCTCAGTCAGTCGACTCAATTTAGTGTCAGACTCATTACTGCTATCATTTAGCATAATTTAGAGTCTGTTTGAGCATTTTGAGCCTAATACACTTAAGGAATAAGTGTTAGAAAGTACCTGCTAGAACCACAGTGTAGCAAATCAGGCCATAACCCAAAATGAGTTCACGACCACAAGACCATGAGTTTACGGTCGTAAACTCATGTGGCCATAAACTCAAGAGTATATATATAAGATCCTTGGCCATTTTTCTCATTCCTTCCATTCCATGGCTGATTTTACTTCAAATCCTCTCAACTATCATCTTGATCTTCTCCCTAGATCTTCAAAACTAGTAAGTATCCTTCCTTGACTTGTTGATACACCTCTTAATCTAGCATTCTCTCATGATTTCATCCAGGAAAATCATGTTTTCATAGATCTTCAAGTTTCACCAAGAACACACACTAGTGTTCTTGGCCAAAACCGACCATTTCAAGCTCATATATCGATCATTGTGTGTGTTAAGCCTCCACTTGACACCTAGCTCTTGTCCGACACTTCCATACGATCCAATCACCACAGGTGAGTTCATACCCCTTGATCAACCTTTTAAATGCTTTTAGGGGGGGGGATACAAGTTGAATATCATAGTTATTATATCAATTACATGTGATTAATAACTATCAAACATATGGATTTACTATACTTTCAAACTATTTTACCAAACAAATGAATTCAAACTGTGTTTCAAACAATACATTTCATATACTTCAAACTGTGTTTCAAACAATAGATTTCATATACTTTAAACTGTGTTTCAAACAAACTACTTCTAATTGGTTTTATAAATTGATATCAAGTCATCAATGGTTATTATTTTACTCTTCAAATGTTTTACAAAACTTCTTTAAAGCTTATATATATATATATATATATATATATATGTATATATATATATATATATATATATATATATATATATATATATATATATATATATATATTGTTATATGCATGTCTATATATGTATAGTTATATAAGTAATGTTTAAAGGACTTAGGACTGCTAACTCGCTTTATTTGCTTTTTCTTGTTTGGATGTGGCCTGATAGTATAGGTTATCTGTCCAAATGTCGTTTAAATATTAATTATATATTATGTATACATATCTAGATATAAAAATACTATCAGATAGTTCAAAGCCTTTGAGTAGCAAATGTACACCTTCATTCATTCAAATTACAAAGATTACTAGTAAGCTATTATAGGTATAGTTTAGGAAAACTCTATCATATACAAGTACATGTAGAGAATACTATAAAAATATACTATGATGAGAAACTAAGAGAACTTACTATTATGAGAAACTATACAAATATACTGTGATGAGAAACTAAGAGAACTTACTATTATGAGAAACTATACAAACATAATATGATGAGAAACAGATAAAGAATACTATAACGAGAAACAATACATACTAAGATGCTATAGCATACAACAACTACATGATCTAATTATACCAATGAATCACTAACTCATTGTTCTAAACAAAAGGTGATAGTTAAATTGAGAATACATGATCATATAACTTTAATGTGGATGTACACGATGCAACCACCGGTTTGCCAAGTCGTGTTTGGTTCCCATAATCTTTTGACAGGGAGAACGTTTAGTACGGGAACTAGCCATCACATTATACCTTAAACAATCGATTTAAGACAATAAGTACATCAGTGGTTACTGTAATACAATACTACAATACTTTAATATTTTCCCCATTGCATTCATTTTGTGATCTTCTCACATAACCGGTAATGTATAAATTATATTTTGTTAATGATAGTCACACTTGGGAAGAATACACACTTTTACAACAAACAAACATGTAGAACTTTGATGCCTTCGTAGAAGGCTAATTTTAGTAGAAAATATATGATTTTCTAGGAGATACAATTACTTATACACACATTTACATTGTACATTTATAAACATTTTCTTCAAACTTATACAAACATTTATTGCAAACAATTACAAACTTATACATCAAACACTTACAAACATTTTCATACAAACAATGACATTAAATACTTATGAACTCACCAACTTTAATGCTGATAAACTCTTTCAAAATAACTTGTATTCTCAGGTCACCAGTAGACAGGTACGATGACCAGGTTTTGAGAAGACGGAGCAGTCAAGACTCGTCTTTTATTTTGATTACTTATTTTCATGTCTTTTTCTATGAAAGAACACACATGTATTAAAATTATATTATTAATGCAATGGATGATGTTGTTGCTTGTTTACTACTTTGCATTGTTGTGATACTTTACATAACGTCCTCCGCTCCAGAACGTTTCCGCCGTTTTTGGTTTTGGGGTGTGACACGTACCGTTAAAGATTGTTTATTATGTTCTTGATCATTTTAATTTTGAAACTTTGAAGGTGGAGTTTGAGAATTGTCAAGTTAGTGTTGATAGTAAATCTGTTCATGAGATGTTAAGATTACTATTTGGTGGCTCATTACTTTCAAACATGGATTACATTTCCGAGAATAATGAAGAGAGTTGTATGTTTGAGTGGAAGAAACCGTAAGGAAATATTGATAAATTGAGATTGAAACAGCTAAAGAATGAACTTGTTCGAACTAGTTCAAGGGATGATAACTTTAGAACCAAATTTTTGGTTCTTTTTATTATTACATTTTGTGAGTCTGCAAGCATGGGTAAATGTAATCTGAATCCATTATACTTAATCGGAAGAGATATTGATTTAAGTAGCATTAACTTGTGCGATTTCATTGTCGATTGTTTGGTAAGGACGAAGAAGGTTTACAACCCAGAGAAAGAATCATCTTTCTTTTATGGACCAACAGCATACCTTATGGTACGTGAGCTGATTTTTAATATTAAATCTTATTTTTAGTTGAAAAAATATGTTTTTATTTTATTTTTAAGCATATATGATTGTATAATAATATATGATTAATTATATATCACACAACATAATCATATATGATTATTCATACATATTATGATTAATGATATATTTGATTTGTATAAATCACATATGATTGTATAATCATATATGATTATATAGTCTAATTTTTGTTTAATTATATATTACACATCATAATCATATATGATTATTCATATATATTATAATTAATGATATATTAAACTGTATAAGTAAATCTTTTTAGAAAGTTAACTTATTTGGTATATATGTTTTTTTTGTAGTTGTTGTGTGTGGATAGTTTCAAGTTTGATCATTTGCAAGTCACACATAAATGTCCGACTATTTTTTATTGGACGTCAGAGAAGATAAGGTTTCTTGAGGATATTTTATAAGAGAATGGAGCATCTGGATGTGGGGATGTTAATGAACCATATCTTTAAGAAGAATGTCAAGAATCTGATTATAATGAGGATGAATCTGGAGGTTATAAGGATGAGTTTGATGGTGATGAGGATTTATGTGATGAGGATGAAGAAGAGTTTGATGTTAATAAAGTTAGTGCTGTTGAGGTAATTTTATAGTTTTATTCATTTATTATTTTATTAGTGTATTCATTATGACTTTTTATGATTAAGTATTTTATTTTTAAGTATCCTTTTTCTTATGTAGGTGTATAAAAGTAAAATTTCATATATGTATCAGAAGATGGAGGATTTCAAAAAGGATCTTGTTGTAAAGATAGATGAGTGAGTGTTAACGTTTCCTCAAAGTCAAAATTTGAAAATTGGAAATTATTATTTCCAGTTGAGAATTGAAGCACCGAAAGTTTTGATTTCCATTATGTTTCACAAGAATGTAAAGAGCTATATTGACTCCCGCTTTTGGTCAAGTTAATGATGATGAAAAAAATCACAGAAGTAAATCATGATGAAGATTATGGGAATGATTTTTTGAATGATCATGAAAATGTTGAAGATGGTCATTGAGGGAAATATGGTGGTGCTCAGGGGGGTGGAAATGGTCCACATGAGGAAAATATTCGTAAAAATGATTTTGAAGGTAAAGGTGGTGTTAATGATCATGCATATGAGGACAATATTGGTAAAAATAATGATCAGTTGAATAAGAAAGAGGATGAAGATAATGAACAAGGAAATGGAAGTGGATGCAATGAAGAAGAGGCCATGAATTTAAATTTTGTGTTCGAAAATGTTACTAAGAGCGTTGGTCTAATTGATAGCCAGGAAGGTGTATCTTTTAGTCAATTCATGTGCGATCCAACTGTTGAAAGTTTTCTTATAACTTTGGATCAAGGCAAGCATATGTTTTTATTATATATAGTTTAATCATATATGATTTTAATTTTTTATATTTGAATTTTATAGAAGCTTAAAACTTGGTTGATGGTTATATAAATTAGAGAGTTGAAGATGATGTGAATGATAATTTGACTGGTTTTGAGAAAAATGAATTTGATGATGGTAAGTATTTGTTTATGTATTTTTATACATAAAATATATATGTGATTATGTTATATAGATGATTCACTTATGATTTTAACAATTTAGAGATTGTAAATTTGAGCAAGGATGATCATAACAAAGAAGTAATTTCAGATCATACTGTTGATAAAGTTATTGTAGAAAATAAGAAAGAAGATGAATTAATTCATCCAAGTTCATTGAAAGTTTGCTGAAGTGTTAGTTGAAATTTATAAAATAAAGAAGGATGGAGAAGGTGTTGTAGAAGGTGAAGGTGTTGAAGTTGATTCAGATTTAGGGAAATCAATAGAAGATTGCTCAAATAAAATAAAGATGAAGGTAATTAGTTTATAATTATTGTTTATTTTTATATGATTGTGGTTATAATTATTATTTATTCATATATGATTTTTATAAAATTTTTGGTAGAAACTGCTAAAGATGGTGTACAAATTATACAATGAAAGGATTCAAATGAGACATCAATCATTGAAAAAGGACAAAGCAAAGGGAAAGTTGAGAAGTTTTATGGTCCAAGTTTTAGTCTTGGATTTAGTCAAATTTTCAAGGTTCCAAGAAGGCATCTCAAAGTCAAAGTTCTCCTAAACGGATGACAAAGAAAAAGATTAAGGATAGAGTTTATTTGGGAAAACTAAGTGCTGGCCCAAAGTGTGTTGTTCCAAATGTTGATGTTATTGATGCTAGTCCAGTTTTATTTGCACCCCCTTTGGGTACATTAGAAGTACTATCAAAACCAATTTCTGACCAAGCTATAGCGATAAATGAAAAAAGTCCATCAAAATCAAAGTCTAGCAAACCTAAAGATATAAATGAAGAAGGAACATCAAAAGTATATGTTAAAGGAAAGAGAGAAATAAAGTTTTCTTATGTTTATAAGTCACCTTTTAAGGAAAGGTTAATTGATTTTAAACCAAGTTTGACACAAGTAGAAAAGTTTGTTTGTCAATGGCTTTTGTGTCTTCAAGGAAATTCAAGGTAATTTTTTTAAATATAACTTTTTATTTTTATAATTATAATTTTTTTTTTACTTTTAATAACATTTAAATAAATATCTACAGGGATATTGTCTTGATTATGGAATCAGATCTTATGGGTTTTAGAGAGAATTATGAAAGTCTTTATAAAAAAAATATTTGCATGTAAGTGTTCTTTATTCATGGTCTTGTAAATTAAATCATGAAGAGAAATTCAGATATGTTGTTATTTTCCACTCAGAATGTTCATGAATGTTGATACTATAAGATTTTATTTATGTTTTTCTTTTCATATTTTGATAATCATTAATAATTTTTTATTAAATATTTACATTTTATTGTATAATCATTTCTGATTTTTTTTATATTACATACCTTGTCACTTGAATATAATCATTTGAAGGAAATTGGAAACTATAAACTTTTCAAGAACAACTTCTCTCTCGGTGTTTCTGGTGATAGAGACTTGAAGGTTTTGAAGGATGTTGATATGGAATATATATATATATATATATATATATATATATATATATATATATATATATATATATATATATATATATATATATATATATATATATATATATATATTAATGTTTTCTTTCTAATATTATACACGATGTGAGGTATACTATAAGATTTTATTTATGTTTTTTCTTTTCATATTTTGATAATCATTAATAATTTTTTAATAAATATTTACATTTTATTATATAATCATTTCTGATTTTTTTTTTATATTACATACCTTGTCACTTGAATATAATCATCTGAAGGAAATTGGAAACTATAAAGTTTTCAAGAACAACTTCTCTCTCAGTGTTTCTGGTGATAGAGACTTGAAGGTTTTGAAGGATGTTGATATGGGGGGTGTGTGTGTGTGTGTGTATATATATATATATATATATATATATATATATATATATATATTAATGTTTTCTTTCTAATATTATACACGTTGATGTCAGGTTTTGAAGGATGTTGATATGATATATATATATATATATATATATATATATATATATATATATATATATATATATATTAATGTTTTCTTTCTAATATTATACACGTTGATGTTAGGTATTTTTCCTTGTTGTGCGGCAAAATCACATATATCTTATTGTTATAAATCTGAAGAAACCTACTTTTGAGGGTATTGACAATGGTGTTGGTGATGTTGATTTCGATGATAAGTATGGTGCGGTTTTTCAACCTCTTGTAAGTTTCAAATTATATTTAATCTTTAGATTTGAAATAATATATGATATTTTTTATAATTATTATACTTATATGTTTCTGAGCTTAAATTGTATATGATTTTCAGAAAAAGTTTTTTTTAAGTATCTAAAAGAGATCAATCATGTTAAAGTAAACGAAATGACTGATAAAAATCTTACACCAATAAGATTGATAATGTCATGGAGGACAGTTTACAACAAAGTGGAGTGTGGTGTTTTTTTCTATGAGACATATGGAGAGTTATTTTAGAGAAAAAGGTTCTGAATGGAAATGTGTTTTTCCAAAAGAAGGCCCCTTTCAAGAAAAAAATCGGGGGAATTTGAGAATAAAATATGCCACAACAATTTTGTCTTCTGAGATTAATACGAAGCGTGATGATGTGTTTAAAGGTAGCTATGAGTATCAAAAAGTTAATCCAAAGATTCGTGGTACACATTCATATAATGCACAATGGAATATAGAAACAAGGCTGTTAAGTTTTTTTTTGATTGAAGATGTTTTGATTTTAGAAGTAAATGTATGATGGGTGATTAGATGTTTTTTTTTAATGTTGATGTTTTAAGAACAAATTTGTGTAGGTTGGTTTAGGTTGTGTTTATGGTTATGGATATTCTGAATAATGTTTGTTAAAACACCCCAACTATACAAGCCAAAAATTTCGTTTTCAAAATTATTTATCAAACATAGATCTCATTGGCATAGTGTAAAACCGTAAAACATGTATCTTGAAAACTCATAAAATATGATAAACATATAAAAATCTCATAAAAAATATCAAACTAAACTCCCAGGTTAATCCACTGAGGTGTGTGCCATGCCATCAGCTCGAGCCCTTCCTTTTACTAGCTGAAGTACCTGAAACCAAAACTGAAACTGTAAGCACGAAGCTTAGTGAGCTCCCCCAAACTACCACATACCATACAAACACATACCACAAATAACATAACTTTGGGACTACTCCTAACTACATCGAGAGGAATCTCGACATCGGCTTACCCGACATCGGACTCCTTCCCGACATCGGGCTCACCACGGCATTCGATCGCGTCGGGCATCGGGTGCACTCGACATCAGGCTTACCCTGGCACATACACAGTATAACATTTATCCTAAACACATAACATAAACACATAATCTTCATTGGGCTTGCCTCGACATCGGACCGAAGCCCGGAACATATAACATATAACATGTAAACTAGTATACATCGGGCTTGCCCCAGAAAACATAACACATATCATATAACATGCATGAATCACAAAGACATCATGCATACTTAACTACTTCTCGGGACCACCCCGGCAGCAGACCGAAGTCTGGAAACATATAAACTGCATCAGGCTAACCCCGACATCGGGCTTACCCCAACATACTCTATTACTTAAACGGGCCGACATTGGTGCCTTAGAGTCGTTCCTACTGGAAGAAAACTTACCTCATATGACTGACTACTGAAAACCCGAGTGAGAAATCCCTGACTGTTGTTCCGACTGCTCTCCGGCTATCATAACCAAATAAACACTTAGTCAGAAATGAGGATTCTTTTATGGGTAAAATGATTATTTTACCCTTCTAATCCAATTTAGACCATAACCCAGGCCCAATCCTTTCTAGTCCTTCTAAACATACTAAGGCCCATTAATCCCCAAATGGCATAGTTTTCTAAATTGGGCCCAACTCTTCAAATTGGGCTTTCCTTTCCAACCTTCTTAAGCCCTTAACTAACTTTTGCAGGCCCAACACGACCTACAACTACTATGTCCAATACTTGGCCCAAACTGAGCCCAATAACAACTAGTCTACTGACTGATCGTATGCTGAGTGTACCTCTACGTACGTCGCGCATACGGCTGAAAGGGCTGGTTCGCTGCGCGTACTGATGTGTACGCCCAGTGTAACCTCCAGTTAAGCTCGTTTCTCCAAAACTTCTTAATCCCTTAAGACACTATGTCTAAACTACAGATATGAGTCCAATACTTCGACCTAACCCATAAAGTCGATCACTTGGTGGCTTACAAGACACCAAATGAGCCTAACACTAAAAAATGACAAAGAACCACCAGGAAAATGGCTAGATCTCTTGCATGGATTCATAAAAGCCTCAAAGCTTGCAACTTTACAGCTAAAAGAACACATTGAGCTTCAAGGGTTGCAACCCTAAGCTCAAAAACGGAGTTGCATGCTCAAGATCAAATATTTGGATCTAAAAAGGCCAAATCTTCAAAACCCTAGATCTATGATTCAAGAAGGAAAGATATGAGCTTTATACCTCGTTTGAGTGCCAAAAGGTGAGCTTGTTATAGAACCGTGAGCTCAAGATACTCAAGTGCTTCTTCCTTCAACCTTGCTTCACTTCTCCCAAGCGCTTCTTCACTAAAAACAAAATCAAGAGGTCAAGCACACAAAGAAATGGAGTAAGGTACGAACTAGGGTTTTTTGAGAGTGAGGTACATGTGAGGAGGCCAAAGGGGAGGCTATAATGGGGTTTATATATGTCTTAAACTCTAAAAATTAGGCTTTGGGATCTACCCTCGTACGCTGGGATTACCCCATGGTACGCTGCGCGTACGCCCCCGAGTCCCACACATCCAAAGTGATTACTACGCCCAATGTACGCCGGGTTATACCCCACATATGGCTCATGGGCAGCCCACACCTTGGCCCAAACTTCAAAGATCCATTCCCAAAAAGGGGTTATTGCCCAAGATAAGCCTAAAACTAGTATTAATTTGCATAATCAAACAATACCTCGAGAGATGGATGTTACAACTCACTCCTACTTGTATTAGACTTCGTCCTCGAAGTCTGCTACTACTGAATCTGGAAACAACTCCAGGTAGTGCTCCCTCGTCTCTTCCTTGGACTCACACGTCTACTCCGAACCCTTTTTGTGCTTCCACTGAACCTTCACTAACTCTACTCTCTTATTTCTCAGCTCCTTAGTCTTTCGATCCAGAATCACCACCGGTCTCTTTATGTATTTCAGGCAGTCATCAACCTGAATATCCTCTAGGGGTACCACTGCTGAATCATCCACTAAGCACTTCCACAGCTGAGAAACATGGAATGTGTTGTGGATCTAGCTGAGCTCTGCTGGAAGACCTAACTGATAAGCAACCTGACCCACCTGAGCCAAAACCCTAAATGGACCAATGAACATGGGGCCTAGCTTGCTTCGCTTCCGAAACCCGATGACACCCTTCTAGAGTGACACCTTCATGAGGACCATATCGCCTACTTGAAACTCCAAGTCTGAGCACTACTTGTCGGCATAAGTCTTCTGTCGATTCTGAGCAGTCTGGAGCCTACTCTAGACTTGCTGAATCCGCTCCATGGTCTTAAGTAGTACCTCCGTACTCCCCATGAATCTCTGACTG